TTGGGCCAGTCACTCTCTCTCAGCCCTAGGAAGGAGGCAAGGGCAAACCACTTCCAAAAATGTTGCCAAGGAAAGTGCAGGGACTCGTCCAGGCAGTTGCCAGGGGTCAAGACTAATAAAAAAAAAGTAGAAGTTCCCTCTCCCTGTTTCAGTTGCTCATTTTTTTATCTTTTCCTGCTTTGCCATGTCATTTTTGAAATGTGGCAAGCAGAACTATACATAGTATTCCAAGTGCGACTTCACTATAGACTTAAAAAGGTATTACAACATTGTAGGATTGTAGTCTTTTTCCTTTTTTTCTCCATTACATTTGAAAAAGAAGGGAAAATTAATAACACATTCAGAAATAGAAGAATTAATTTCAACACATAATACAGGTAGTCCTCGACCATTCATTTAATGACCATTTGAAGTTACAAGAACACTGAAAAAAGTGACTTATGACTGGTCCTTGCACTTACAACCGTTACAGCATCCCCACGGTCATGTGATCAAAATCTGGGTGCTTGGCAACTGGCATGTATTTATGACAGTTGCAGCATCCTAGGGTCACATGATCATCATTTGTGACCTACCCAGGGGGCTTCCAACAAGCAAAGTCAAAGGGGGAAGCCAGATTTGCTTAATGACCATGTGATTCACTTAATGACCACAGCAAAAACAGTTGTAAAATTGGGCATGACTCAATGACTGCATCACTTAGCGACTGAAGTTCCAGTCCCAGTTGTGGTCATAAGTCAAGGATTACCTTACAGGACTGAATAATCTATATTGGCAGCAACTCTGCATGGAGGACTCATTAGAAAGATTTTCATGCAACAGTCAGAAAGGAAACTGTTAACTATATTGAACTGATAACTTGTGTTTCTACCTCCATCTCTTGCTCTTTAGAAAGTCTGTAAAGAAACATCTCTTCTGCCAGGCTTTTAAGCATGAATAGATTTTATCATTAATTTCAATTTGTGTGTTGTTTTAGACTCTTTAGCTTAGTTTTGGCTAAATGTTGCGAGTTCTCACTGGTGTATAACAGTGGAATGAAAACAAATAAATGAAGAAATAATTACTGAGGTTGCAATAAAATTTCATTTTCAGCATCCTTGTTGCTACTATATTTGTGAAATGAATCAACTCTGTATTTTTTCACTCTGATTTAAAAATGTATGGGAATACCCATTCTTCATTTTGTCTCATGGTTTCAGAGATAGCACAAAGGCTACTTATAAGAGCCAAAATATACATTATGTATGACCAAACATAAGTGTTAAACTGCAGT